GGAAACAACCAACAAAACTAAAAGGCAACCAACGGAATGGGAAAAGATATTTGCAAATGACATATCGGACAAAGGGCTAGTATCCAAAATCTATAAAGAGCTCACCAAACTCCACACCCGAAAAGCAAATAACCCAGTGAAGAAATGGGCAGAAAACATGAATAGACACTTCTCTAAAGAAGACATCCGGATGGCCAACAGGCACATGAAAAGATGTTCAGCGTCGCTCCTTATCAGGGAAATACAAATCAAAACCACACTCAGGTATCACCTCACGCTAGTCAGAGTGGCCAAAATGAACAAATCAGGAGACTATAGATGCTGGAGAGGATGTGGAGAAACGGGAACCCTCTTGCACTGTTGGTGGGAATGCAAATTGGTGCAGCCGCTCTGGAAAGCAGTGTGGAGGTTCCTCAGAAAATTAAAAATAGACCTACCCTATGACCCAGCAATAGCACTGCTAGGAATTTATCCAAGGGACACAGGAGTACTGATGCATAGGGGCACTTGTACCCCAATGTTCATAGCAGCACTCTCAACAATAGCCAAATTATGGAAAGAGCCTAAATGTCCATCAACTGATGAATGGATAAAGAAATTGTGGTTTATATACACTATGGAATACTACGTGGCAATGAGAAAAAATGAAATCTGGCCTTTTGTAGCAACGTGGATGGAACTGGAGAGTGTGATGCTAAGTGAAATAAGCCATACAGAGAAAGACAGATACCATATGGTTTCACTCTTATGTGGATCCTGAGAAACTTAACAGGAACCCATGGGGGAGGGGAAGGAAAAAAAAAAAAAGAGCTTAGAGTGGGAGAGAGCCAAAGCATAAGAGACTGTTGAGAACTGAGAGCAAACTGAGGGTTGATGGGGGGTGGGAGGGAGGAGAGGGTGGGTGATGGGTATTGAGGAGGGCACCTTTTGGGATGAGCACTGGGTGTTGTATGGAAACCAATTTGACAATAAATTTCATATATAAATAAAAAAAAAAAAGTAACTCTATGCATCTTTCCTTCCTTAGTCACTGATATCAACTAGTTAAGGAAACCTTTCCGATTCCCAAGTCACTTCTAAGGCTTTGCGAAGTGGTTTTTGAACAGCGTCATGATAAACTGTCTTAAGAGATGCTTGACTTGCCTTAAGGTCTTGAGTGTCCTAGTTCCTCAGCTGACCAACAGAAACACTCTTGAAGACGTACTGTTGAAAATATAAAGTACGTAAGCCCCTAATTTTCTTCTGCTGTGAATGTAATTTGCTCCCATTTTAAGCAAAACCACTTGGGAGAATGTAAGAAAATTGAGCCCTTCCTCTGTTTGGATACAGAAATAAGGAGTGAGGACACTCTAAATGAAGTCAAAAAGAAGGGGTGGTCAAAGTAATGATGAAATTAGGACAAGATGTGTTTTCAAGATTAACTGGTTCACTACTCCTATTGCTAAAAGCATATAGAATATCACCGAATGTTAAGTAAGGACGATTACCAAACCACCTAAAGAAGCAGTCTGTGGAAGTCAATGGCCTATGAAAATGAACGGAAAGAATCTATGTTCCCTTCTTCTGGTTCAAATAAAATGAACATTTTTCTTTTTCTGAGTTTGAATGAGACCAAAGAGGCTCAGGTGGCCCTGAGAGCCTTGGAATAGAGATTATTATGTAGAGATGACAACTAGGGAAGTCTCGACCTGGGGTTCGACTTAATTGGTTTCTGTCTACAGGACCCCATATTATTTATCCCAATATGGTTCCAAAATTCTCTGCTTCCCTGCAAAGTAGATGTTCCCGAAGATTACCTCCTGCCTACCAGACTGAACTTCTATTAGTTGAAATGTTTTGTAATGGTTGTTGCTTCCATTTTAGCACAGCTGGACTCAGGAAAGGAAAGGGGGCGGGCAGCTGGGGTGTATTTAGGGGACACAGGGCCATAGCTCATTGGCATGTGCTTTAAGAAATGTTTTTTCAACCTGACCTGGCCCTCCTCAGATGGTACCCTACTACACAAGGTGAGGAGTCCACGGGGCCTCGGGGTCTGAGATTTCTCACTTGAACCAGGACTTGCAGATTTTTACGGAAGTATATTTGTCAAGATAGGAGGATGAAACATTTTATTGCACTGTTTGCTAGCTTGATTTACAACGTATTTTTAGATAAACAGCGCACGGACCTCCATTTGTACTCTTGACCTGGTCTCCAGCAAATGGCAGAAATGGGCCCGTTTGGCACTACTCTTTCTGGGCTGCAGAAGACTCTACCTGACCAATTCCTGGGCCACCTCCAGGCCTGTTCCTTTCCCACCTCAGATGAGACTGCAACTAGTGTGTGGTCCGGGCTCTCCCATTAATGAAATATATGTGATTTCCTCTGAGTTTTCCTGTCTGTAAAACAAGGAGGTTGGACAAGATGAGCTAAAGTTTCCTTCTAGCTCTTTGACCTGTAAGAGTGGCAAAGAGGAGATAGCTATTTTTGGCTTTTCGGCATTTATCAGGGTCTTTAAATCACTTTGAAACAAGGTTTCTGTGGGTCCAAGCAGAATGGGTCCTCAGTCATGTTTCTGTCCTAGGCATGCAATGGAGTCTCACTAGGTCTCACCAACTTGTGCATATGAAAATGAACTTGATAGCATTGATAACGTCAGTTCCATGAGTTTCTACCCACATGTTTAGGGCAAGGGCCTCTGCCCTCCTCAAAATTTCACCCAGCTATTTATGGGCAGTTTTAAGGTTTCTTAATCCATTCTAGGGCGCCATGCTAGTGTCTGTTGGAGAAAGCCTTTCTTCTTAACCCTCCACACTGCACGCATATCCCATGCGAGTGACAGACAGCAGTAAGAGTGGTCCTAGGGCACCATCTCCCGATGACTCCAAGACTACAGTCCTGCAAAACAAGCTGCAGCCATGGTGTGCACCACACTGATGGAGAGGGAATGCCCCTCTGCCCTTCTCTCCATTTTATTTCCCACTTTGCCCATGGGACACAAAGCATAGGTGAACAATGAGATACCACCTCACACCTGTCAAATTGGCTGACATTAACAACTCAGGCAACAACAGATGTTGGCGAGGATGCGGAGAAAGGGGAACCCTCTTGCACTGCTGGGGGGAATGCAGACTGGGGCAGCCAGTCTGGGAAACAGCATGGAGACTCTTCAAAAAGTTAAAAACAGAACTACCCTATGACCCAGCAATGGTACTACTAGGTATTTATCCAAAGGATATAGGAGTGCTGATTCAAAGGGCTACATGCACCCCAATGTTTATAGCAGCATTATCAACAATAGCCAAAGCATGGCAAGAGCCCAAATGTCCATCGGTGGATGAATGGATAAAGAAGATGTGGTATATATATACAATGGAGTATTACTTGGTGATCAAAAAGAATGAAATATTGCCATTTGCAATAATGTGGATGAAACTACAGTGTATTATGCTAAGTGAAATAAGTCAGAGAAAGACAAGTATGTGATTTCACTCATGTGGAATTTAAGATACGAAACAGCAGAACATAAGGGAAGGGAAGCAAAAATAATATAAAAACAGAGAGGGAGACAAACCGTAAGAGACTCTTAAATACAGAGAACAAACTGAGGGTTGCTGGTGGGGTGCTCGGTGGGGAGGCGGGCTGAAGGGGTGATGGGCATTAAGGAGGAAACTTGTGACGAGCACTGGGTGTTGTACGTAAGGGATGAATCACTAAATTCTAGTCCTGAAACCATTATTACACTATATGTTAACTAACTTGAATTTAAAATAAACAAACAAACAAACAAAGCAGAGGTGAGCATGCTCCCCTCTCTCATGCTGTCACGTGAAAGCAAAGTTTCCCTTGCAAGGACTCAGACACAGACCCAAGGATCACAGGACAAACCCCCACACTGGCTTTAATATCTCTGTCTCCCCCCAGTGCCAAATGTTTTCTGGCCCCCTCTCCACGTGAATATTCATCAGGCATAGATTCGTGCCCATGGATGACTGGCCCACTAACCTTGTAGATATACCAGATATGTGAAAACAACTGGAATCCAATAAATCCGCGAATGAATGAATGAATGACTGACATAACTAAATACCAAAAGAACAATGCAGTACAGCGATGTTGGGCTGACTTCCCAAACATTTCAGAAATCCATTCAGATTCACAGTGTTTATGATTATTAGCTGAATATTTTAGGCCTTAGTGAATGGTTCTTGCATTTTTGGCAATAGAGGAAGCTAATCATTATTATTCACAGGGTTCTTGTGGTGTGCCAGGAACCGGGATACGCATTTATATGCATTGTCTTATTTACTCCTCTAGGTCAGGCGCTGGCAAACTTTTTCTGTAAATGGCCAGATGGTAAATTATTCCCAACTTTGTGACCCGTAATATCTCTGTCATAGTATTCAGCTCTGAAAGCCAAAGTGTAAACAAATGGATTTGGCCACGTTCCAGTAAAACTTTACAAAAATAAGTTGCAGGTTGAATTTGGCCCACAAGCCGTAATTTGCTGACCCCTGCTCTATGGAATTCATGAGGTTGGCACTCTTTGCATCTTCACTGAACAGACAAGGAGACTGAAGCATAAAGAGGCTAAGCGATTGACCCAATATCTCAGATACTAAGGAAATGGATTTGATTCCAGAGATCACACTCTTTTGCACAACAGGGCCATTTAGGCACTTGGAAGTAAGTTACAGACAACCCTTGGTGGGAGACCGAAGGGCGGGACCTGCCTTTGAACCTGCACTGCATGTGGGCTCAAGGTCTCCCTCCTCAGCCACCATCCCCAACACAGATCTTGATATACAGGTTTCCCCCACTGAGAATAGAGCGTTCCTATGAAAACTCTGATAAGCCGAAATGTTGTAAAGTGAAGAAACAATTACTAGTGGCTTATATGAAAAATCTGAGTATCCCCAAACCCCCAAAATCAACTCTCTTAGGCTCTTCTGATACCTTAGGACACATCTTGTTCACACATGCACAAAATAAATCAAGGTAAAGCACAGATGCTCACAGACCCGGTCCAAAGCTCTGGCGGCTTGTTGCTGAGGTGTTGAGCGTAGTTTCCGGGGAAGGAGCTCGATGGGGTCACTCTCACTGTTCGGGGTAAGTGCTGCCTCTATAACGGCTTGCTGCAAAACAAACACTGAACGTTATTTTTGCTTTTTGCCTTTTTTCATAGAAGTGAAAATCCTCTTGGGATTGCTCCCTGTTAGCGAAAACAGGTGTAGGTCCTTCCTAAAAGTGAAGTGGCCCAACGTGAACTTTTGAAAAGCAGGGTATACTGGCACACTGATCATCCATTAAAGGGAAAAAAGCCAGTAATAAATGAAAGGTCCCTTTCTCGCACTGAAATATCAGGAAAGGGTAGTGTAAGCCCCATCTAACAACCCTTAATTAGAGAATTGCAGTATTGATGGCTTCTTAATTGCTCTAATGATATGATCTCACTTACTACTCATTAATTTCCTCTCCAACATGGCCCCTCAAGCCAGCTCTACCTTTCATAAGGAAGCATGAGTCAGTTATAATGATAACGATAATGATGATAATTCTATTAACAACACATTTATATAGTAGTACTCTAAGCTACTCACTCTTCTTTTGATTGATTGATTTTTTTTTAGGGCCCCTCAAAGGAATGTCCCCAGATGGCTTCCAAACTCATGGCTTCAACCCTTGCCACTGCTCAGGTCTCAACCCAGGATTCTGTCCCAGCCCAGGATCACCTGGGTTTGCTGCTTCTTCTTTGCACTGGGATCCCTGCCTCCAGCCTCTTGATCATACAACCCTGGAGGTAAGTGGATGGCCTAGATTCAGACGCCAGCCCTGCCCCCTTGCCCTGGGGTCATGCTACCTGACTTTGTCTTGGCAGGTTCCTCCTGGACAACATGAGCATGAAAATAACCATTGAAGGGCTTTTGAGAGGATTTAAATGATCTTATATTTAAGGAGCTGAGAACACTGGGTGGCACAGAGTCAATTCTCCGTGTGTCATCTGGGATCATTCGCTGCTTAGCCATCACTGTAGGACCCTGTATCATTTATTCGGGAACATGGTTGTCTCGCTCCTGCTAAAGTAAAAGCTTTATGAAGCCACAGGCTTTGTTCTGGTCTCAGCTGATAACTCTGGTGCCTAGAACAGTGCTTGATGAAGTGGGGGGGGGGGGGGGAGGAAAAAGGGGGGGGGCAAAAAGAGGAAAGATAGGGGAGCATCTAAGATTTCTTTTACGTTTTTATTTTCGTTCCAGTTACTAAACCTACAGTGTTATATTGTCACTCACTTGTCTAAGTCCTTCAAATATATTAATTCATTTAATCTTCACAGCAAAGACCATTTTACAGATGAAGAAACTGAGACCTAAGTGTTAAGCGGCTTGGCCAAAAATGCCAGGAAAGTGACTCAAGCTGGACTTTGAATCCAGGCACCCTGGCTCCAGCATCCACGATCTTACATACTATGCCTGGCAGCCTTTCAAGGAGGATTTTTAAATACAGTAAAAACTAAAATTTGTCATGTTGATAGGTTACCTCTATGTAGATAGAATGTAAATTGCATTTTGTGATTTATTATGGAATAGTCTGCTATAGTCTTCCCTTTTTAAATTTTGTTAAAGTTTATTTACTTTGAAGGGTGCCTGGGTGCCGCAGTCGGTTGACAGTCCGACTTCGGCTCAGGTCACGATCTTACAGTTCGTGCTGACAGCTCAGGGCCTGGAGCCTGCTTCGGACTCTGTATTTCCCTCTCTCTGCCCCTCCCATGCTCACCCTGTCTTTCTCTCTCTTTCTCTCTCAAAAATAAAGAAACATTAAAAACAAATTAAAGTTTGTTTATTTTTGAGAGAGTGTGAGCAGGAGAGGGGCACAGAGAGAGAAAGAGAGAGAAAGAGAATCCCAAACAGGTTCCACACTGGCAGCGAAGAGCCCTACAAGAGGTTCGAACTCACGAACGGTGAGATCATGACTTGAGCCCAAACCAAGAGTCGTATGCTTAACCGACTGAGCCACCCAGATGCCCCTAGTCTTTCTTATGAAGAAGGTTGTGGGGCGCCTGGGTGGTTCAGTCGGTTAAACATCGGACTTTGGCTCAGATCATGACCTCATGGCTTGTGAGTTCAAGCTCCTCTTCGGGCTCTGTGCCAACAGCTCGGAGCCTGGACCCTGCTTCAGATTCTGTGTCCCCCTCTCTCTCAGCCCTTCACCAGCTCGTGCTCTATCTCTTTCAGCAATAAATAAAACATTAAAAAATTTAAAAAAAAAGAAGGTTGTAACATTCCTTGCATGTAAAGGCATGAAGAAGCCACCATCAACAGTCTCTTTCCCACTCTTGACCTTGGTAATCTGTGCAGATGCCAGTGGCATCCCTTGAGACAATATAGAGAAGTAATCATTTGAGTGTGGGTGGTGAGGGTGAGGGTAGGGCACCTCAGGAACCCCCAGGAACATGGATGGGGGCAGATGGACACTTTGAAGCATTTCCTTTCTCACCTTTGTACTTTTCTATCTTGTATTTTGTCTCTTGAAACTTCACTCTGTTCAGAGATGCAGCAGGTAGTGTCACTGGGCCACCCACATCTCCTTGGAATTGACCATTATTTTCCTTCTATGCCATCCATTTCCTTACTGCCAGCACCAGTGCAAACTCTCTTTGGCCTCCAAAGCCCTCTCTATATACATGCGCGGTAGGGTGAAAGCGTCAGGGAACGAATCCGTGATTGATAAGAATTGGTGTATAAATACCCCGGCACATGGCTACATTAGCTCTTAGAGGTCCCCAGAGGATTAAGATCAGTTGTCCGTGGTGGAAACGGGCTTGGGCTGCCTGAGTGGCTCAGTTGGTTAAGCGTCCCACTTTGGCTCAGGTCGTAATCTCCCCGTTTATGAGTTTGAGACCCACACTGGGCTCTCTGCTGTCAGCACAGAGCACAGAGCCCACTTCGGATCCTCTGTCTCCCTCTCCCTCTGCTCCTCCCCTGCTCGCACTCTCTCCCTCTCAAAAATCGATAATCATTAAAATAAAAAAAAATGAAGAAATGGGCTTGATAATGGTATCAGTCAGGATTCCACTAAAGAAGAAAAAAAACCTATATGAGATATATATGATAGATCGATTGATTGCAAGGAATTGGCCTAAGAAATTGTGGGGCCCCACAGTCCAAAATCTATAGGGTAGGCCTTCGGGAAGGGCAGGCTGGAGCTCTCGGGCAGGGGCTGGTGCTATGTGCACTTTAAGAATCTTGTGTTGGGGCATTTGGGTGGCTAGGTCGGTCATGATCCTGTGGTTTGAGGGTTCGAGCCCCGAGTCAGGCTCTGCGCTGTCAGTACAGAGCCGGCTTGGGATTCTCTCTCTGCCCCTCCCCTGCTCTGTCTCTCTCAAAATAAATAAATAAACTAAAAAAAAAAAACGAAGAGTCCCGGTGTCACACCATCTAAGAAGCCTCTCCTTTAAATGCCGGAATTTTCACAGAGTGTCTATGATTCCCCGTACAGGGCTTTTGGGTCAACCTTTCCTTCTGGGTATACATTGTTTGGAACAATTTTATAAATGGAAGGAACTTTTCCACACGTTGCCAGATTCCCTATCACCCTTCTGGCTGCACTCCCAAGCATACCCAACAAGTTAATTATATTTGTAGACTTGCAAAGTAGCTTTCATGAGTAAGAGTGCCATTCATCTATGAGAGAACCCGGCAGAGTCTGCTGGCGGCAACTTGCCAGGGAAGCAGAGATGCTAAGTGGTTGCTAGTTCATCATCAACCGTCCTCTGGAGTTCTCCATTTTAAATAGAAATAATGGGGGGCGCCTGGGCGGCGCAGTCGGTTGAGCGTCCGACTTCAGCCAGGTCACGATCTCGCGGTCCGTGAGTTCGAGCCCCGCGTCGGGCTCGGGGCTGATGGCTCGGAGCCTGGAGCCTGTTTCCGATTCTGTGTCTCCCTCTCTCTCTGCCGCTCCCCCGTTCATGCTCTGTCTCTCTCTGTCCCAAAAATAAATAAACGTTGAAAAAA